TGACGATAATAAATACTTAACTTATAAGAAACAAAATTAGGATAACTTACAACAACATCAAAGCATGTTATGTCTGTATCATCCAAGCTCTTTTAAGACTATGGATGAAAAAACAGAGATCTCACTTCAATACCTATTCTAAAAGAGTTAAACTCTCGAAAACAGTCAGCTGAAATGAATGAATATTCTTTATTGCACTATTTAACAAAATATATACAACAAAAAACTCAAGGAATACAAACACAAAAGGCGGCCTTATTGCTAAGTTAGCAATCTCTATCAGGCAACCTTTGGCTAAATGAAACCATACCATGAAAATAGAAGAACATTTTAAAAATAAAATAAAATAGACGTAAATATAAGAATATAAAAATAGTAAATATATAAGGAAGTTATAAAATATAATACAAAGTAACTAACAGATAAAAAGAAAAAGATCAGCTTGAGGAAATATTCCTTAATTTTAATGGTAAAGTCCCTCGTCTGTGCACGTTTGATATCCAGAGGTGAAGAGTTCCACAATTTTACAGCTCTTACGTAGAATGACTTAGCTACGAAATCAGTGGAGTGGGGTGGGATAGCTAAGGATAGGTTATGAGAAGACCGAAGATCGCGGACAGGATTAAAAGAATGAAAAGTGAAACGCTCCTTAAGATAGAGAGAAGTGTGCGGATGAAAAAGGATAGAATAAAGGAGTGATAGAATGTGGCAGTCTCTTCTACGAGAAATGGGTAGCCATTGAAGTTGGGAACGATAATGAGAGATATGGTCGTACTTACGCAGACCGAAAATGAATCGGATACATAAAAACCTAATAATGCAATTTCGATAGGGAATCAAAACGAAATACACGAAAACCTAGTTCAAAATAGGCAAAATTTGCCTATTAATGACTGATTGAAAATACTGGGATCTGCATCAGACGCAGGTGTCACCTTACTAGACCTTGACATCCATATTTAACCTTCACCTTGTACTCTGCTGAATAATGTTCGTCACTTTTAAATGTCACTGCCTACTAAACAAATATTACAATTATTATGTATACAGAGAGCTGTTCTTTGTGCAGAAGATTTCTGGTAGCAAATGAGACAGCCACGTGTAGTTTTAGCGGAATACCTTACAAACTTGCTAAATGAATTTACTTCTCAATTAAGCAGAGCTTATGCTTTGGAAACTAAATAATGTATAATTATGCATATTTATTATCAAAAAATATTTATGCTTAATACGCAAATTATCTTATTTGCATTAGAGATCGGGACCTACGAAGCAGTAGGAAGGTCACCGACTGGCTGTCAAATGCAATGTTAATTAATAATTTGTCAGAAGAATTACTGCTAAGAGAGCTCTAAGCAGACCAAATATAAATTTCTGCAAATCAAACTCGTTATTTGATGAACTTTTAAAGCAAATGTTTTTATGTCTGACCCTGTCCTGCGTTGGGATCTAAGTGTTCAGATATTCAAGGCATTCAAGAACTTGAAATGCATAACTTAGCACTTGAAATCCGTAAATAAAAATTTCCTAGCTCCTACAAGGCGCTTCTACCGGTAGGAGCACGTGGACATTGAGATAGTCAACCATAACTATACTTCACTTCCATTATTCCTATATACATACACCGCACAACCATTTATTTCAGAAATCCCCACTGTCAAACTGTTGCTGCCTTGTCCGCGTGGAACTTTTTCTAGTTATATTTTCTTCAGATTGAGGTTATTGTCAGTTTTACCTTCCAGTCTCGCATGAAGACTTATATTTTCCCCCACTTGTTTCAATCTTGTCAGAGACGGGCGGGATCATACCGAGGAGTTATTGAGGGCAGATATCTTTCCCTTAAGATTGACGAAATTTTATATCATCTTCATCAGGCTATTAATAACCCCTCTGCAGGAGCACAGGCCTACCCTATGGATGAAATAGGGAGACTGGGCCGAGTGCTTACTAACCACTGCAAATGCAGCCACGACCAACGGATAAACGTGCCATCCAAATCATGGATGAGCTCAAAATAATAACTTTTTCGTATCCCGCCAAATGACCGACCATTGAGAGAGTTGCTTCACTTTCACGATCGCAGGCCGAATGCGCTCACCACCTGCGCCATCGAGCTTCTCAAATTTAAGAATCCAGTTGTTAGTTTCAAGAAATGAAACTCTTAGACGAACAATATGCTGCTGTTTTGATTGCCTTCGATACATTGGTAATCTGAGAATGCCTGAGGCAACCTGTTAGTCCGACATGTATATTATTGATACAAAATGTGAATTATACATTCGCCCATAGAATCTCAGGTAGGTATGACGTGGATAAGTTGTAGCTCGTCAAAGTGAGGAAAGAAGGCACCATATAAAGTATAGTGGGATAATACACGAATGAAGATGATCCTATACCAAGTAAGCAGATGTACGTGTAGTTAATGGTTCTACCTTGTATCGCAGAACTATAAATGTCAATAATATTATGCATAGCCGCAGACGGTATAGACTTCATTTTGCAGAAAATCATTTGGCATTTGAAACGCATAAAATTGTAAGCCAGAATCGTTTTTAGGCATAATAAAATAAATTTAATATTTACAGTAATAACAAAGCAGAACCATCATATAGCAGAAACTTCACAGAATCGTCTTTTAGCATACAACCTTTGTCCTTTTTTTTGTTATATTTATCTACTATATCAAGCGGTAGGTCACAACACTAACTTAACCGACTATCACAAATAAACGTTAAGCTTGACGAAGTTACGCTGAATAAAATTTTGCCATCATAAAAAAATCCATTGTTCCGGACATAAAATATTCAGCCAAACGATAATAGTTTTATTTGTAAATGAATTTCGGAGCAACAAAATTCTGCCAGATAGAGGAAACCCGTTGTAAACCTATACCCAGAATCATAAGTGGAAGTAATAAAACTTGAATGTGATTCATTATAATACTATATCAAAACCTCGGGTTGAACCTCGAAGTTAGTGAACGTACAACCTCCAAATCACGAGGCTTCGGAAGTGATAAAATATTAAATGATGTTAACAAAAATGGGATTAGTAAAAAGAATATAAGGTAAAGGTTAATATGTATAAATAAGTATACCTGGATGCCTATTTCAGAACAGCAAAAAGATGATTTTCTGTTTGTTTTCTTCTATTCTTTTCTTCAAAAAGATAATTAATATAGAAAACGTCTACTAGGTATTTTGTAACCCGTGATTATTATTTACGAAGTACTACGATCAACAATATCATACAAAACTGGTCTGCGAGTAAATCCGCCTCGGTAACTATAGCCTCATTTGAGGCGTGACATTTTATTTTAAATGTAATTTATAAAAGGAACAAGAGTTCGTTTTATAAGATAAAAGGTCGTATGTGCGAAATAACATTTTGTTATTTGTAACCTTATTCCTTTGTGAGATATATGTTATTAGGTTCAACTTAAACTGTTTTATAACATGTACGAGTATCTTTGTTCATTGGGAATCGAATGTAGCTGCATAAGTTTAAACATACGCGGGAAGTTTTAGCTATGGTTTTGTATGCAACCCGTTATCTATAGAATTGTTGTTCGAAGACGAAAAATCACTATCTATATAACTAACCTATACCATAGCAGTGATCGCTGATGCGTTACTGGGAGTAGGGGCGTCCAAGCGGAGATTTGGGATGTACTGGAATGCGGCAGAATAACATAGGAGGGGCAACCTTCCACTTTGCGTGGTACACCCACCATACCTGAGCCATTTATATAGGATCAAACGACAAGGGCAGAAAAAAAAATCAACAGCCTAAAGTCTAGGGCAGCAAAAAATTTTTCAACAAAAGGCCATGACTTTTGGTCGCGTCAGTCTTTTGAAAAAGAACTCCTGGAGGGTTCACGTAACATCCCTTCTCTATGCCTGACTCCATCGAATATATTTTTTCGTTTGTTCTATCCCCTCGTACGGCGAACCCCACACCATGCAAACCGGCATAGTAGTATTTTTCTGTTATCAGAAACATTACGTAAACCATCCTCTCTCATCTCATCTTCTATTCAAATGACTAACGATTTGGACGCGCCTAAAGGTCGTAGCCATTTGTTGATTTTTTTTTGCTTTCCTAGACTTTAGACCGTACATAAAGGGCTCAGGTATGGTGGGAGTACTTCGCAAGGTGCAAGGTTGCTCCCCTTATGTTATTCTGCCGCGCACGAGTAAGTCTCTTGCTCTTGGGCTCTTGCGCTCTTGGGCTCCCCTTCTATTGTCTCTGATCCATATGCTTACTATTAAATGCTTAAGTATTGTGATTCTATATTTTTTTATAAACTATTTGGAATGGAGATATGTTGGATCGTAATTAAAATAATGAAAATGGAGTACGCTTTCTCCTAAAAATTAAAGTTGAAATGGCTGTATAATTAATTCATTTTGTTTTGTGTTAATAGAGTGGCAAATTAGCATTTCACATCTCCCACCCCGTAAAGTTTTGGAAACTTTAGGCACCATTTTGTTCAGTGTAGCGCTAATGAAATCAAAAATCCTGTTCCCAAATAATTAAAGAAACAATTTGTAATTAATAATTATTCTAGGTATGATAAAAATACATCTACTATATAAAAATAAGTCGGGTTTTCCTTCCTGACGCTATAACTCCAGAACGCACGAACCGATTTCCACGGTTTTGCATTCGTTGGAAAGGTCTCGGGCTCCGTGAGGTTTATAGCAAAGAAAATTCAGGAAAAGAAAAAAAAAAACTTCTTTTAATCACCAAACGAAATGTTACATAAAACGAAGCCATCTGATGGCGAAACGGAGTTCGCCTGGTTTGCTAGTATTTAATAATTATTTGTCATACTATCAGATAATAATATAATAAAACTTTTCTTTCAGCTCACTATACTTTCATTTCATATGGACCAAAATTTTCCATCAACAAGCTTTTTTCGCAAAACAATAATTCCACCAACACAATATCTTACAAAAATATTATATTCTTAATTCAAAATGGAATGCACTCACGCGCAATTTTAGCCGTGCAATCGCCGACGAACGATATCGTTACCAGCGTCACGGCCACAACCAAAACAATTCTTTCGCACATGTTCTCTAGCCGCCGGCAAACCACTGCAAGCCGAACTTATAGCGACAACAACCACAGAGTAACTGACACTGATGGCCAACCGTTCACCCTGCGCACGCGCCGCGGCTTATGTAAATTGAAACGAGTTCTTTCTCATTTTCGGTTGCATAAATTCGGCTAGCTCTTTGCCAATGTGAAGCCTGCTTTTCACGCAACGCTGCCTACTAATCCGTTCTACAAAATTGTTGCAAATTTTCATGATGTGATTGTTGGGTGCCCTAATTGTATCGACGTAAATATGAAAATTGAATGATTGGCGAACTGTGATAACGATGGTTTGTTTATGTGTGGTGCGTGCGCTGCATCGCGTGCGTATTCCGAATGTCACAGTTCGTTACTACAATAACATTTCAATCACTACAGTAAGAATATGTATACAAACATAAAATAAAAGTATCACTTTAAAATTGCACCATAAAGTTTCGATAGTTTATTCTTTGTGAGGTACCTACCTATTTCTTATTGAAATGTAGTGCCAAAATCAATTTATTGTAACAAGCTGTGTTTTCACATAACGCTTCAATGTTACTTAATGTCTAGCTATAAATTTACATTTATTGATATAGAGAATAAACACGAAATAAAAAAATCTATCTTATATTTTTATTTTTGCATACACGACATCAATAAATACCTACCTAAATTGATCTTATCGAGCCGTTACCGCCAAATTATCGTAAGATACACTTTTGTCGAAATGCGTTTTTTGTGGAAACTAATATTTTAAACCGTAAGGGACCCATCTCTGTTGATATTTCCTTCCAACCTTCCTTCCGTTATATTATAACGGTGTTCTTTTGGAGGGAAATATCAACAGAGATGGGTCCGTTACGGTTTAAAATATTAGTTTCCACAAAAAAACGCATTTCGACAAAAGTGTCGCTTACGATAATTTGGCGGTAACGGCTCGTTATTATCATGCAATACCACAGAAATATATTTCTATGCGCAATCCTAATGAGGATGAGGAGCTCGATGGCGCAGGTAACCACCTGCGCAACGTTCGGCTGCGTTCTTTGAACTTAAGCAACTTTCGCAGTGGTCGGTCATTGGATGGGTGACCAAAAATCTTCTATCCCGTGTTCCTCCGTGCTTCGGAAGGCACGTTAAGCTGTTGGTCCCGGCTGCATCTGCAGTCGTTAGCACCCGCCAATCCGCACTGGGCCCGCGTGGTAGGTCATGGCCCAATCTCCCTATTCCATCATAGGGAAGGCCTGTGGCCAGCAGTGGGGATATTAATAGGCTGATAGTGATGAATCATAATTATTTATTATTGTCTAAAACAATATAAGATGATAAGTGCATTCTACTATATACAAGGACATTTTAAACGAATATCGATCAATATTTGGACTGAAAAAAGTATAACCCAGTAAAAAGTAGAGTTGTGTTTCAATTTCGAAACATACATTTATTTATCATTAAAAATCAGAATAGTATTTGAGATATTTTTTTTATTATTTGCTGTTTTACTTTACGTTAGTAACATTAAAAAATATCTTTAGATTTAAACTCTTAGCAGTTGAATGCTTAACATAAAATAAAAAAAAAAAGTTTTACTTTTTAGATTTTCCAGAATAAGACTGCCCATTACTATAGCATCGTGTGAGCATAAGTACTCTTTATGTATTGCATAAATCAGTTCAAATCATTACAAGGTTAGGATCAGGAATATCCCAGTTAACATACCGTTAAAACATTTCGTAAACATTGGGCAGTTCTGTGAATCACACCGTACTTGGAGCTATTGCTTGTGCCGGTGCTAGATAAGTATTAATTTAAGTAATTGTTAAATTGGGCCTAGTAAATTAACCCACCTGAACTCCGTAATAATTGCGAAAGAGTGTCTGCGTGTTACGTCTGCATGCTTAAACCGATACACCGATTTGGATGTTTCTTTTTAAAGAGATAGTTTGAGTGCAAGAAAAAGACATAAGATAGTTTTTATCCCAGAGATCTTCCTTTGCACGGCTGAAAATGCGGTGGGTGGAATTTTGTATAAAAAATCAATTAAGCCATGCAGACCTACTCATTTAGTTTATTATAAGCGAAGTCCAGTTTTCAAGATAGTTGATGCGGCGAAAAAATATGTTGCTCCAGATATCCCTAAGGTGCTTGTTAAGGTTTTCTACCGGGTCTAGGTACGCGCCAGTGCTGGCTTAGCTTGTTCACGAGCACGGTTTGTTAACAAACCTCCATGTCTAACTGACGACCGGATAAAGACACGATTTAAAAACGTGCCGTCCCGTTGACAAGCACCCTTACATCACCAGCCTGGAACCATTCCGTTATCCCATTTAGCTCTAGAACTTTACTCACAAACAGAAAGATACGACCACTGTAACAAATATATAATCTGTATAGCGGATATTAATTTCCTTTGACGAGCTAAATATGAAGGATTTCTTAATGCCTACTTTTATGTGTATTGATGACCGTATAATTCAACTATCATACTATTGAAAAATAGAACGCAAATATGATAAAAATTTCGTAAGATCAAATTCTACAAGAGCCACGCTCAGTGCCTAGCTTAGAGACAAGCTCTCAAGCAAGACATAAGTCTCATATCTGAACATGTGGCCTGCAGTGTGGCTAATCGCAATGGCTAATGGCAATAATAATCCCGCCTAAAACGTGTTCATGTAAAGTGTTGCCAAGACAAGACCGAAGAAGTTATTAGGTAGATAGATCTCATACTGTAAAGCCAAGCTTTTAACTCTTTACGCCCTAACTCTACAAACTCTACACATAAGTCAAAATATGTGGCTCTTGTGGCGTGTCTGGCTGTCGTTCCAATTCTTAATTTTAAGCTAGTTTTAAGTTGTTTACTGAAAACCTATTTTCGGTTCTTAACTTTAACTCCTGAGCGCGCGGCTACCCTTGAGCGCGCTGCTACTCCCGAGTGTACCTCTACTGCTGAGCGTGCCGGTTGTTCTGAGCACATAATTTTCGCAGTGCGCGTAGTGACGAACCTATTCTCTGACGTGTGCAAGCTCAATTACCAAGTGCGTTTTCGTGAGTGCGTGCCCGTTATTTCGCGAGTGCGGTTGACTCTTTTAGTTTTTAAGTTTCTCTCTTTCTCTCCACTTGTGTTAGGGCTTGTATATAAATAGTACTATAAAGTTCTGTACTATTTACCATATTTCTATCTTTCCTTGACGTAGTTCTAGAGTTCTTTTTTTTCTTCAACTTCTTCCAAATTTTATTCTTTCTTTTCTCTTAAGCTGGCGCTACGCTCTCCTATCTCTCTTAGAGAAGTGTAACGTTACACTCTCTGTCTGTCAGTCTGTTACCCCTTCACGATTAAACGGCTGAACCGATTTACAAAAAAAATATGTCGATATCATATGAGTCCAGGAAAGGACATAGGACGTATGTATGGAAAATCAATTGGACTACGCAGACGAAGTCGCATGTGGGTACATGGTATTTTAAACCAATTTTGGTTTTTCCCAGCATTTATCGTTTCGTATCTTGTGTATTAATAAATCAGTGATACATAGTTATTACATCGTTTATTTATTTCCAGCACACAAATACATGTAAATAGATTGTAGCATTAATTAAATTCAACAAAAAAGGCAAAATCCCAACGATGCCTTTGCACTGGTTTGAGATTTAAGCGGGTGGCCGCGTCAATCGATACTGACGTCAGCAACAACCTTGGCAAAAGCTAAATAAAACAAATAGTTATAGCAAATTATGAACTTGAGAAGAAGTTAATGAATGATACATTAATTTAAGAAACAAATGAATATGGTAGAATTTAAAATTTTCAAGTATATTAATATTATCTTTTTACCAATCAGCTAGGCAACAGTAAAAATTAGCGCTTTAAAGCTATTTCACAATCTCACTTTATTGACTAAAGTTTTTGGAGTCAATAAAAAGTGGATTCATCATTCTGTTTTATATTTCAAAAAAAGATATGCTTTATCAAATTGCCGCGAAAACGTTTTGGACTGGACATTAAGGCATCTCACTGGTGTGTGACGTCCCACGATTATCATTAAAACGTCAAACGATAGAATGTAATGTCACTTTGATCAGAAGTTTACGAGCGTGATACATCATTTTAGTCTTTGCCAATCCCAGGCGTTTTCGGTCACGTGATCATAGAACAAAAATGAAATTTTTATGTAGTAGTTTTAGAACAGTTAATATATATTTGTTCTCTCAGAATAAAATCAGTTGGTGCTAATATTTATACAGATGATGATAATAATTAGTGTTTTATTTTTCATACCTTCAAATAGCCCGTAAAAAACAATACTTTTAAAACTCGCAATATTATTAATGGTCCTATGATCCAGCGTATTATAGAGTGCATATTTTCAGTTTACCACTTTTCCAGCGTGACTGATATGTCATATTCATACCAAATGACATCTTTGTAGTACTGATAGTTTCGGACTTGACTTGCAGCCAGATGAAAGGGTTTTTTGTTGACTACGGTATCCCGCAAATAGAAAATTTACCAGATTATACCAGAAAGAGGTTTTTAGGGTTTCTGACCTGAACAGCAAAAAAAGGAACTCTTATAGTATTACTTTGCTATCCGTCTATCTGAATGTCGGTCCGTCTGTCTACCTGTCAAAATCCTCGGAAACGCGTAGAGGTACAGTATACTCAGTTCTGCGGTCCCTTGACTGTGAAAAAATCAACTTCTAAGTTAACAACGCATATTTGGATACTCTCAAGATAATAAAATTTATAGGATACTCTCTGTTAACCTAGAACTATGAAATGTTGACAGTAATATCGTCTTATGCCGTTAAGTTGGCTAGTAAATTAATAAAACCCACTTTTTATTGGGCTTTTAAGCGCGTTTAATATATTTTGACATCATTCTTGAAGTCTCTGATCCCTGTAAGGCTTCTTGGTCACAAGACTGAATTTATTATCACTAATAAGTCTATTGGAACCTCTTATAAACCTCTTATTATTAACCTCGTAGAACAATCCTTGGTTAATGATTTATGTGCGCGCAAATACAATAAAATC